TCCATCAGTAGATGAATGGATAAAGATGTGGTACATATACACAATGGAATACTATTCAGCCATAAGAAGAAAACAAATCCTCCATTTGCAACAACATGAATGGAGCTAGAGGGTATTATCCTCAGTGAAATAAGCCAGGCGGAGAAAGGCAAGTATCAAATGATTTCACTCATCTGTGGAGTATAAGAACAAAGCAAAAACTCAAGGAACAAAACAGCAGCAGAAACACAGATCCCAAGAATGGACTAACAGCTACCAAAGGGAAAGGGACTGAGGAGGATGGGTGGGAAGGGTGGGATAAGGGGGGTAAGGGGGTATTACAATTAGCAGACATCCTGTTGGGGTGGGGTGCACAGGGAAGGCAGTACAACACGCAGAAGACAAGCAGTGATTCTATAGCATCTTATTATGCTGATGGGCAGTGACTATAATCAGGTATGTGGTGGGGACTTGATAATAGGGGGAGTCTAGTAACCATAATGTTGCTCATGTAATTGTACATTAATGATACCAAAAAAAAGTTATACATTATAATAACCTACATTTTAAGAAAAGCATATGCATGTTAAGATATTATACCAACTACTCAGCTATTTAAGAATTCAGAAAATCTAAAACATCAAGTTTAAGGCTTTGAATGTTTCCAGTGCTGTTTATAACTGAAAAGGTATCCATTTGGTGATGAAGGTGGTTATAAATATGTGGTTATGCTTTAGTGGCACACCTCAGAGGGGACCAGCAAGGAAGTCAGCACCCCAGGGATGTTCATTTGGGTTGGGCACACGCACCTCTGTCATCAGGTCTGCTTTAACAAGTGGGCCTCCTGACACAGGCATGGCCATGTGATGGATTATGTGTGAGAAGAATAAATGCATAAGTGAAAAAAAGGAAGGCCATGGAGAGAGAGACAAACTGACTCATTTAAACTCAATAAAAGGTTCCCAGACAACAACCAAGAGCAAGTCCCCAGTCTTCTTTCTTTGAGAAGGCCAGAAAACAGTTTTATTTAGCAAGGCAGAAGTACACTCTCACAGAGTGAGCAGGCAGCCTGAAGGTCAGGACCAGCCACAAGACCCCAGTCTTGCAAGGCCATCTTGGGTCCTCTAGCCAACATTACTTTGAAAAGACAACTGTGTCCACTAGGTCCTGCCTAAATCCCTGAGACAAAGAATCATGAGCAATAAAATGGTTGTTTTACAAAACAAAACAAAATGAACAAAAGAACAGTAGACTTAGAGCCACTGATAAGTGGTGGTTACCATGGTGACTGGGAAGGGTGCTGGGGAAGGTGAGGGAGATAAAGGGGCACAAAAATGCTCAGTAATACAAGTTGGTCACAGCATGGAGAATACAGCCAGTGATTCTGTAACATCAGCCTATGCTGACAGACAGTAACTGCACTAGTGGGGGCGAGGATTTAATAATATGTATGGACAACTGTTGAACTTCTATGTTGTATACTTGAAACCAATGTAAGATTGTATATCAACTACAATAAAAAAGAAAAAGAATTGATCTGGTGAGCTCATTTTCCCAATGGAAAAACAGCCCAGTAGATAAGCATCTTTTTGTAGACTGCTTCTGAGTGATACAATTTGAACCCTCATGGGAGGGTTCAAAAGATGAAATAGCTATCTTCAGCTTTTGTGGAAATGTATACTATCAGTACATTTAGGTTTTTTTTAATTGTTCTAACACTTTACACCATACCAGGAGAATATTTTATACTGATCTATTAGTGATGATCATTCAAGAACCTCAAAATACTTTATTTTACAACAATCTTATAACACACACAGGATTAGTAAATCAAGGGGCTCCCATTTTTTAAGTTATTCGGTATTGCAGACACAGTCTACAATAGTACATCCCTCTGATGCCAAGTATTAAAGTTAGATTCATGGGTAGCTAAAAAAAGTCACATTTTATGACTTCTTGCTCACCACATATAACAGCTGAGTGGTGGAATACTGACCCACACAATCTGGTTTAGAATAGAATATACTCTCTACTTTAGGTTGAAAGGGAAAAAAACTGGAAATGACTCTGCTCTCTGGGGACAAGATAGAACTTCAAGGTTAATCACTTTCACTGAACATCTCAAATCCTCAAAAGACAGGGATAGAGAAAGGACACACCTGGGAGAGACACTGACGACTGGTTTCTCAGCCATAAATTCTGGATGACCTATTAAGTACTATTAATTGATAGTGTCGCAAATATAAATCATGGGTAATAGCTGAGGAAGTTGCCACATTTACTTTAGGCTGTAGAAAAGGTCAGATTGAAACTAAAGAGTGACAAGAAATTATCAAAACTCATGTTTACAGGGGGCCTTACAAGGTGATATGGTTCACTCCTGGATCCCCTTCCAACAGTGTCACACCAATTATAAGAGAAAAAAAAAATTCACCCTATTTTTAGAGACCTACAATGAAGACGAGTCCACAGCCAGGATTTTACCTCACAACTCATTACCATATTTGGTCATTACTGAAAGGTACTAATTAATAATACCAGTAACAACTAACTCAAAGAGTGTGAATAAGAAACAGATGCGATGAAACATTGAAACACTGTAAGCTATATGTAAAAATGTTTATTCCCTGGGTTAACATCCATCCTATATTCTTCTTTAAGTTAAGGAAGAGGTTAGAGGCTCACAAATGGTACTCTTTTTTACTGGGGTCTCATGAGATCAATGTGAACTGAACTGGTTGGGGGAAGAGTTTGTATGCCATGAGCCAGGCCTTGAAAACTGTGCTATTTTTAAGTTTTGTCCTAGAAGGGCAGAACCTAACCATGGACAGCAGGGTATCATCTTACTCATCTGAGTTGCTGTGGAGACGCAAGAACTGGAGCTCACGAAATACCCAACTCAATACATCGTGATATCCTTTGCTTAAACTGCAAAGGATAGCAAACTAACTTTTGTAAGATTTTTGTGCCAAAGCACACAGTAGCTACACTGCTGTATATCTAACACACTAATCAGCCATTTGATATTAACACATGCTTTGGGAGAGATGGAGATCCTAGTTCTGCTACATTATTACAACTTTGGGCTCATACTTTCTTATTGAAAATGGGTACACCACCATTTTGCCATTTACCTATTTCACAAGCACTTGAGAAAATTTATGATCTGACAAGTTTCAATTGCTTTGGCTTCATGAAAATGCTTCTAAACATAAAGACAATGTTAACTGTGGTACATTATTTATCTTGTTATTATGAGTTCCCAAGTAAAATTCGAAATAAAAAAGAACTCCAAAAAATTTCTTAGAAGGGCAGAAGTATATACAACATATCAGTAAGACATCTAAATTAGCTTAATAACAAATGCATGTGGTGTAATCTCTTTTGTCTGCTTCAGAGATTCTCAAACATTGGCTATACTAGCTGAAGTCATGTTCTAATTATACCAATATAAGCATTGACAACTATAAAGGTCATCATATTAGTCTAGACCAGTGGGTCTCCCCACTGCCAGACCCAATCCTCCCTTTCATACTGTTCCACAAATATCCTGCAATGGCATTCATACATAATATTACCTGCCCATATAGGATTTTGAAGTCAACAAAAGGGCCATTTCAACGAAACGAAAGAAAAGTAATTCATGATAAGATAATATGTATTTCAACATGTAAACCCTTAGGTATTACGACCCTAGAAGACATAACAAAGTAAGGAAATGCTTATTTCAAGGGTAAGAATGCAAACACTGAGTCCATGCCCCTAAACCAAGGCCTCCCATAAGCACTTCAGGGTAAATCCTAGTCTGCCAAGGTCTAAAAAACTCTTGATTTTTTCTACTCAGAATAACCAGGACTGCAAATATTACCATATCCAGAGACAATTAAGGACCACACAATTATGATGGAGCAGGATCCATAGGAAAAGTTCTTTCACTCGCAAGTTTGTGAGATCACAGTCCAAGTAGGTAAGGGATCAATAGGCCAAGGTAAGAAATTTCTATTTCCATATCTCCTAAACACATGAACTGTTCCCTCCATCCTCTATGAACTCTTGGCAGATTCTGAGCTGGCCCCATTCCATGTTTACTATCTCAGCCAGCTTGAACATGCTGATTATTTTTCTATCCTGACTTGTTAAAATTACATAATGGTAGAACAGGAAATGTTATTTTGATATTATCTAATTTTAGTAATGAGAAAATTAGTCTTGTTAGAGGTTAGTAAATTTAGTCTTGTTAGTAAGTTTAGTCTACTTCACAGTCTTTTTTCCCCCCTTTTCTTTCTTTTTCTCTCTTTTTCTTTTTCATTTTCTTTTTCCTAGCTCTATGGAATTATTCACAGTCTTAAAGATTTTTAACAGTATATTTAGAGGTCTCTTAATTTCCAAGTCAGCATTGCATTCACTGTACCCCACTTAAGGAAAAATAAGCTTAATATGAAGAAATCCTTTTGAGAAGCTGCAACCTAAGGAAAAGAAAAAACAAAGATTTATAAAAGACAGACTTAGCCTGAAAACTCCCCACCATCCTTTTCAGAGCTTCGTGCAGTTCTTCTGGGATCAGCAGTTAAAAATATTTGTAGATATGCAATATAAGATGTAACTCTTTTCATGACAAAAGCTTTTTTAAATGGTGGCCTAGCATTCCACTATTTAGATGTTTTGTATTTTGTTTAATCAAATGCTTCTTATTGGATTACCTAGCTATTTCTCTTTTCTCTTTTCACTTAATGGATTGCAAATTGTTAATGCATCAATGAGAAATGTTTATATTCACCTGATAAAAAAATCTGTCAAAAACAAAACACAAAAAAGGACAAAGAAAGCAACCCTACTTATAAGATTGAGTCAGAGTTTTAAAAGCAAGGAAAAAAACCCCACAAATAGAAATGTCTCTTTAGAATATATCAAAGTATACATCATAACTACCCCAAAAGCCAAATATTTCTTCTTCTCCATCCCTTTATTCAACTATTAAATATGATCCCATATAACCATGTGAATTTACCATGAAAAATTACCTGCATTTAAAATACACTGTCCCTTCGTGGCTTCCATCATGCCTTCCTCTTGCGGGATTGTCCCATTCTACTCCTAACCACAGTCCTAGCAGAACAAGAAAAACCACATGAGCAATAAATGATGACAGAGAGAATGCTCCATTTTCCTGCAAGCAAATACAGTTTGTAATGGAAACCATATCAGGTTCCATTCCAAACCACCGGGGTAGAAAGAAATGTCCTGGTAAAGGCCAAGCTAATCTTAGACCCAGGACTGCAATCAGCAAATATAATAGCATGCTTGATTCAATAAGCCAAAAAACCACAGTTGCAGAAAACAACGGCAAAAATTTATTAAACACTTACTAAATGCTAGAAACTTTTCTTTGCATTATCTCATGTATCCTCACAACAGAGAGACATTTTATCTTTGTAAAGGAGATATAATTATCCTCTTCTTACCAGGTACTGGATAAATAGGGAAGTCTTTAAAATCTTATTCTAGTAATCTGCATAATCTGCTTTACATTGCTAAATCAGGGGAGAGGAAATCCTGGGGCAAAATCCCTCGAAAAACCAAAATCAGTCAAAGGGAGAAATAAAGTTTAAAATCTGTTTATTGCTTACAAACTGCAGTCCAGGGCCGTCTCTCTCCTCTGCTCCTGAAGAAGCAAGCAACCAAGCAACCAAGCTAGTCCCTCCCTTTAAACTCTCAGGTTCAAAAACACCCTTGGTTGCCCAGGTAATTACCCATTGACACGGAGATGAACTTCTCTCCACCCCTGAGGATATGCAAATGTACTAAAGCCAGGCAAGATATTCTGGAAATATTACAATTTTACCCACAGGCCACCCCTCCAGAAATCTCGCCTTACAATCTACTCATTCTCCTTCTTCCGCAATGGTCCCAGGGCAAGAAAACTGGCACATTGTGACCAGAGTAATGACATAACAATAGCAACAGCAATAAAATCATGACAATCCTCAAGCCGGATGATTCAGCTAGGTTCAAAGTCTTATGCAGATTAAGTCCATAGCTTGTCCATTCCAGAGGCAGGCAGTAGCTGAGGGTTCAGAGGAATCATCATGAGGCAGCTGCAGCCAGGGGGCACATTCAGGCCACAAGGACTGTAGGAGAAAATAACCTTAAGGGTGATAAGATACATGTTTTAATGACACCAGCACAGGCAAATCTTGTCCATCAGGTAGGATACATGCAAGAGAGTGGTCTTGTGATAAAACAGTGGCAGGAATGGGATCTCATCCTGGTCTAGTATATCAGACTTTCACCTCCCTTCCTGTGGGAGTTACAGATGGGTCGATATACAGGGCTATGGGAGGTACATGCACTGGTCATAAAAATAAAACAAAACTTCCACGCAAGATGCTCTTACCTCTTTGGATGTTTTGGGTACACTACCGTGACCTTTGGAGGCCATTCAGCTGTTACTCCAGGAATACACACGAGGCCAGCTTCCAGGCCTTTCCCCCAAGGTGCCAGAAGGGCCAACAATTGCTGGTCCATGTGTTGAAATGTCCATGGCCAGGTCCATTCAACAGTGTCTCCAGGGCTTAATGCAGTAGGGGTGGCAGCAGGATGTTGCTCTGCTGGCCATATCCTGGCTTCAACAGCAGTTCTTTGGTTTGGACATACAATTGTATAGGAGAGGCAGCAAGGTGTGTAAGCATATCCACAGGGCTCAAAGCTCCTTTACATGGCTTCTCATTCAAACGCTGCAGCTCCGACCATAGGTGAACTGACCAACCCCGTATACTACTGGTATCTGACTACAGGCCAGATTTCAGCAAACCACTGTACCTCTCTATCATGCCTGCCCCAGTAGGAATACATGGTACATGAAATCTCCACTTTATTCCTAATTGCTGCACCCATTCTTGTAATGCACGTCCAGTACAGTGGGTGCCTTGATCACTCTCAATCACCTGCAGCAGGCCATAGGTTGCAAAGAGATGCTCCAGGCCCCTCTTGGTGGTTTGCTGATCTGCACGATGTGCAGTTAAAGCAACCAATAGTCCAGTAGCTGTGTCCACACATGTCATGGCATACCGATATCCTTCTGATATGGGCAGGGGCCCAATAGTCAGTTTGCCACCTGACAAGGAGTATTAGCCCCCCTACTAATGTCCCATGTTGCTGTGGGACTCAGTGTAAGTCCCTCTTAGGGCACAAAAGGCATACCTTCCGGCCTCTGCTGACTTCTTAAAATGACAACGGCAAGCCCCACCTACGGGCTACAGCCCATTTTGTCTTTTGCTCTGTGTGCAACAAACGCTGGTGTAACCACTGGGCCACATCAGAGGCAGGCTTTCCTTCTAGCCAGTGCACCCGGGCCAATGTGTCTGGTTCATCATTCCCTGGGGATGCCAAAGGCAAATGGCCAGTCACATAATATACAGTAACAGTCTTAGTCTGACCAGAGGCTGACAGGTCTTGCCACAACTCTTGCCCCAAAGGGGACAGTGACCAACCATTCAGTTGGCATGATACGATGTTGGTAGCCACAGGGTCAAGCCCTGATAGATGGTCCAGCTGTCTGTGCAGACAACTATGGGGGAAGGCTCCTGGGTGATCATGAGCCATACTGCCCACAACTCGGCCCATTGACTGTTCTTCCTTTCTCCATTCTCTATCCATATTGTCTCAGTCTTAGGATGGAAAGCCACAGCCCTCCACTTCGGGAACTGCCATGACTGGAGTCGTCTGTGTAACAAGCATCTTCAGGTATAGGGGCTTTTCCCTCCTGATAAGGAGACTCAGCTACCAATGGCTGAAAAGCAAGTTCTTCTTCCTTTCTGCTGGTATAGGTGCCTGATCCAATAAGCACTGGAGTTCTCCACTTAAGGGGCTAGTAGAGAGAGCACTTCGCTGCTGTAAATATGCGCGCCATTTTGCCAGTGTAGGTGTCTGTGCCATGCCACTCCATGGCCTCTGGGTCCACTCTCGCACCCACCGCATGATGGGATAGGTGGTTATTACCTTGGTTGGAACTGTTCCAGCAATGGACTCCATAGCCAGCAAGGCGTGGTACACAGCAGCCAGTTACTTCTCTATCGAGGTATACCGGACCTCTGCTCCTTTCCATAGTGTGACCAGAATCCAATAGGCTGGCATGTCCTTTCAAGCCGCTACCAAAGACCCCATCCGTAACCATCTTCAGTTATATGAACATCTAGTTCACAGGACTTTGATGAGTCCATTACATTCAAGACCTATACAGCCTTGACTGCCTGTTTGGCAGCAGTAAAAGCAGATGCGCATGTCTCATCCCAGTCCCACCTGATGCCTTTTAGTACCAACCGGTATAAGGGCTTTAGAATTTGTGCCAAGTGCGAGATAAACACTCTTCAGTAGCCCGAAGACTCCCACAACTCTTGTAATACTGCCACAGTGGTAGGGGTAGGGAGAGCCTGGACCTTGTCTGTAACTGCTTCAGGAACAACTTTAGTCTTACCCGAGCAGACAACCCCCAAGAATTTCACAAACCACGTCCCTAAACATTGGGGCTGTTCACAGCCCATCCTTTTTCCTAGAGATGTTGCAACAGTCTAAGAACTGCCCCTTCTAAATCTGAAAGATAATCAGATGTGAGCATAATATCATCAATATAGTGACACAACGGCACTGTTTGTGGTTTCTTCCATGTGGCCAAGTCCTGGGCTACAAGTCCATGACAGATAGTGGGACTGTGGAGATCCCTATGGAAGGACAGTCCATGTCCACTGCTAGCCTTCCCACGTGAAGGCAGTGTTCCTGGCTTTCCTGTGCTATGTCAATAGAGAAGAAAGCATTAACAAGGTCTACTACATAATGATATGTTCCCAGTTCATGACTGAGGGTGTCCAGAATGTCTGCTATAGAGGGGACAGCAGCATGCAAAGGGGGTGTGACTTTATTCAATTCCCTGTAGTCTACAGTCATACGCCAGGAGCCATCTGACTTTCTTCCTGGCCACACTGGGGAATTAAAAGGACTATGAGTGGGCTTTATGATGCCCACCCTCTCCAACTCCTTTAAAGTTCCTCCAATTTCCTTGTGCCCCCAACTGCTGCTCTGGCTTTAATTGGTGCCATAGTTCTAAAAATATTCTATTTGGCTGTCCATCAAGTTTTTCTTTCACTACCCCACTCTTTATCAAATCAACCCATATCTGGGTCCTCGAGACCTTCACTGAGCCTTTTGCACCTCTCCTTTCAGTCATGGCCCGTACTTCCCTCCATGCTCTTATTGTTTCAACCTCCCCCCAGATCTGATAAAGTACAAGTAGCCTCTCTTATGGGTTGCTCTAGGTGGGCAGGGGGGTGAGGGGGCAAGAGTATTCACTAGGGACCCAAAGAGAGATGTGAGGAATATATGCAGCACCAGATTTCTCATTCCTATACTGAACACCTAATCATCAGGGCCCTGGGGGTCCATATTATAGATGGTGTTTTTCATACCCAATTCCCACAGTACCTGTTGGAGCTCTGCATACATTTTCCCACTGCTGGGAAATATGGTAAATCACCCTGATTAGGCCAAACTATGCTGACGGCAGCTGTCAGCCATTCCAGGAGTGTCTGATTTCTGGAGACCCAATGGGTATTTTGCAACCACTGTGGGAGGGAAGGGTGAGTAATCAGGGAAGCCATTCTACTCATCTCAGTACCCGACACAACGTTTTCCACCCCCATATCCCAGAGAAATAAAAGCCATGTAGGCAGAGATTCCTATGGCTTCTGCCAATACTGGATGCTCCTGCCCACCAGCTCATCCTGGGTATGGGCAGGGGGAGCATGGAGTGCTCCACAACCTGGGGAGGGGGACTGCTTCTCCCCTTGAGGAGCTCACGGTTGTTTCACTTTTATTTTATTAATTATAGCTGGGCAAGCCTTTAAAACAGGAGAAGACGAAAGAACTGGAACAAATAGTTCAAAAATTCATATGGAAACACCAAAGACCTTGAATAGCTAAAGCAATCCTGAGAAGGAAGAATAAAGTGGGGGGATCTCGCTCCCCAACTTCAAGCTCTACTACAAAGCCACAGTAATCAAGACAATTTGGTACTGGCACAAGAACAGAGCCACAGACCAATGGAACATAATAGA